ATTCACCTTCTCTCCTGGGTGTATCATTTTTACAAAATGAGCTGTTGTTGCCAAGAGAATTTTCAGCAACCTCTTTGCCTTCCTGACAGACCTTTAGAGGGCTGGGGTGAGCACAGATGCCTCTTCCAAGAGGATCAGAGGACCGGGTTGTGGGAATGGCAGGCCTCAGCTGGGAAGGAGACTGCAGAGTAGGGAAGGGACCAGAAGTGAGAGAGAGTTGGTCCATGGCCTCAAAGGCATCTTTTCACTGTTGGGAGTGGTTTCTTTAGGTGCTGCCTCCTTAGTTTCTGCTATTTGGGAAGTCAGCCGCTCCCAGGCCATTGGGAAAGGGCTGGGCACTGCTCAGAGGGAAGGAATTGTGTCTTACCTGGAGGTGTCCTGTTCTGCAGCCAGGCTGCAGAGGAGCTGAACTGCTCCCAGGGTGCCCTGTCAGGGTGCTGGTGCTTTAGAGGCAGTAGGATTCTTGGCTTCTGAGGTTATTGACCTTTACTGAAAAGTAACAGAAAGGCTTTTGAAGAGAGCAGAAAATGGGACTTCCATTAAGTGAAGCAAATCCTTACAGCTCTGCCACTTTTCTGCCTATGCTCGTCCACAGTGCTGGGAAGGCAGCAGTAATTTCAAAACCAGAGCATCTACAGCTTCTCAGCCTGTATAAATTAGCATCTGTGGGCTGTATTGATTTGTGCCACCCTGGGACCTGGCACAAACACATCCTTTTGATGGCCCAGGACAGTGGGTTGGTGTGGCTGCAGCAGGGGATGCTGCAGATTGCAGTGCTGAGGCTGGCAGCTCCCACTGTGCATCTCATTCCTAAATATGGAAAATGTTTCTTGATCACTTTATTTCTAATGGCAAGCACGACTTCTTAAACTGTAAATATTGTTCTGATCTGGGGACCATTTCCTCTGTAATTGCAGGATGAAAGAATCCCATAAAGCAAAAGTAATACAGGCTTTGATATAATCCTTATTTATTGGTCATTTTTATCCAGCACAGAGCAAAACAGTAATAAGAATAGAGCATCTAAACTATGGCCATATTATGTACATCGAGAGAAGGAACAGTGAATTTTACATAAAACAGAGAAGGCACATAATGCAAGGTAATGCTCACTGTTTCACAGGTTGGTTGCCACCTTTTTCCAAGGCAAAGGGAATAGACCATGAAAGGAGGGTAAGTTGCTTCATCCTTCCCCTGCCTCTGAGTATCTTTGGAGGGATTTGGTGCAGGGCAGACTGTGTTCTAGGCTATCACCTTCTCTTTCTTTGTAGAAGGCTATTAGACATGAAGAGAAGGTTAAATATGTAAGGCTTGGGAGTATATTGAGCTTTTTTTTTTTCTTTAATGGATAGGTTGCAAGTGGTCATAAATAATATATTATACTTCAAGCTTTTGAGTCAAATAGTGAGAGAGATTAAACAAATGGAATTTTATGTGGAGATCCCACCACAGTAGTAGAGGTTACCAGTGCCTTTTTGGAAACCAGAAGCCAATTTCAGTATTTTTTCCTTATAGCAGCACACATGCTCTCCACAACTCCTGGATGTTACTGCTCCTCCCTGAATGTCTGTGCTTCTGTACATTCTATTAAACCCCTCAGCTGAGAAGCAGAAAATACCTTGGCATCTGCTATCTCTGTCTTAATCTGTGGGTTAAATTTCATCAGGGATGTTATTAGACACTCTTTAAAATGTATTCTCTTTTGTTTTAGCTGTGGTTCCCTGGTTGAGACTAGGCCCAGAAGGGTCAGTCTACCTAACCATGCATATTATGGTTACTATGGCATGTTCATGATGCAACAGCTTGGGGACTTTTTGTGCTTCTCCAGGCTGCCACTGAGCATTTCCAGCTGCAGCATCTACCTTCCTGCTGCCTTTGGATGTTGCTTCATTAATTCAGATTTTCAGGAAGTGTGTTTGGGAATGACATTTGTTGCCTTCTGGGCCTTTTTTTTTGTTTGTTGGTTATAAGATCATAGACTTTTGAATATTTCACATTTTAATTCCTCTTTGAAGTAAAACATGCTCCCTGTGAGTTCCTCTACACAGACCTGTTTCAATAGGTAATTCTCATTCCTGACTCACCATCATCCTCCCACTGTTTCCTTTGGCCTCACTGCTGTGAAAGTCCAGCTTCACCCTTGCTGCGATCCAGCTTTTGCCTCCACCTCCCTCAAGTGCCATTTGCTTTCATTTCCTTTTCTTCTCTCATTTTTCTGTGAATTTCCACCATCTTACTTTTATCACTTCCTCTCCACCGAGGCTGACAGCAATCACAACTTACTCTAATCTTAGTTTAAAGGTTTTTCCCCTGCCTTCTGTCTCCTTGACTTACTTTCTACAAACCACATTCATATTTCACTGTGAGATTTTTCTCTTTGTTGTGCTTTTATGGGTGTCTTTTTAATTCTCTAGGAGCATATTCCTCCTGAACTCTCTTTGGTCTGTATGAAAAGTCTTCAGGCTTTCATCTTCTCTGCCTCTTCCTTCCTCTGTACACGCTCCTGGGTATCTTGCTCAGCCCTAAAGATTCTCTCTGTGGCAACACTTTCTGGAATATTTTATTACATCTCTGCAGATTGTTTTTCAGCTGTCTCCCAAATTTCATCCAGAAAGTCAAACCACAGAGAAGAACAGATTTACTTTTCAGCTACTTCCTTATTCTTGTTCTGTCTTTCCTTGTGCTTTCCTTCAAGATAGTTCTCCTGGCAAACTGCCTCCATCTTCAGCTGCTTTCTCCCTTTTGTCATTTTTCTTTGGATGAGGTGATAATTAAGCCTGGAAGGGACCTGCTGATGTCATCTAGTTCAACCTCCTGCTCAAATAAGGGCAGAGTTCAAAGTTAGATCTTTATTATAACCATTCTACTGCTATTTCTGATATGACCTAATTTCTCTTTTTCTTTCTCTATCTCTGCTATTCCCTGACATCTCTATCAATTTTCTCAGATGACCAGAAAACCAAAAGCATAAAACTGGTGTGTGGAAGCATCTTCTTTGCATCCACTTTGTTAGTCCAGTGCTGCTTCTGCTGCTTGGGCCTAATTCATTCTTCCAGATTTTCCCTGGTGTGCAGTTTGCTGTCCCCAGGCTTTTCCCAGCCTCCTCTTCCTCACTCACTCATAAACCTCAGCAGCAAAGCTTGCTCTAAACCTCTGCTTGCCCCCTTGTCATCACAGCCTCCCATGTCTTTGCCCACTTGGCCACTTTCTTGGCATAGTTTGTCTTTGGGTGTCTCACAGCTTTTTTGTGAGTGGGGCAAAACCCATGGGTATCCACACAAATAATTTCTGCTTCCCTTGGGGTCTCTCATCTTCATGTGCTGCTGTTCTCTGCTGAATCAGTTGCTTCCTTTCCCCCCACCCAGTGTTTATGTATCTCTCTAGAAATGATCCCACCTAACACACTTTATGGGGTGCTTTATTATGCCTCAGCGGTGCCTCATGGGGCAAAAGCTGGGCTAAAGCAAATTTCAATTAAAGGCTACTGCTTCTGTAATTACATAAAACCATGATTTGAAAAGATCCAGAGAAAAGAATTTCTGCTCTCTCTTATCATAATTTTAGTTACTTCTTCTTCCACTCTTTCCTCAGTTGTCTTTTGAACTCTCTGAATTCAGACTGCAGCTGTACAACAGCGATTGCATTCGAAATAATAAGCTTCAGTAGTAAAGCTGTAAATTTGGCTGGAATAAAATGTGTCATGCATTTTTCCTGTGACTACATTCTGTTTCTCTAACTCAGCTTGAATCCAACTATCCACTCACATTTTCTGTAGAGCCTTGTTTTGAAAGATATTGATGAGGACTGCAAAAAGTCCTGAATGTGCTTACTATCATAGTTACTGCTAATCATCTCATACAAAAATGAATGTGAGTGGTATTGATCTTCAGTAATCCCTTAAGGGGTCATCCAAACTCAATTATGAATTGATCATTAATTGAAAAGATGAGTTAAACTCTAGGATACTGAGTTGCATACTCTGTTATGTAACTCCTGGAATAATCATCTGGGGGTTGATGTGTTTGTCTGGGAGGTTTCACCACTGTGGGCACATGTAAGCTGAAGTGCAGAAAGAGATGCCTGCATGGACTTTCCACTCTGTTGCCTCCTTATTGTGGGTTCAGTTTGTGTGGGAGAAATGTTTGTGATTTAATTACTTGACTACATCTGAAAATTGACTGCATGAGTTATAGCTCAATTTGGCCTCTACGTTCCAAAAACCCATTTGACCTGGGAGCATTTTTGGCACATAGAATCATACATTTGTTAAGGCTGGAAAATACCTTAAGATCATTGAGTCCAACTGTTAATTTACATTTTCAAATGTCTATTTCATTACAAGATGTCTTTGTATCAAATGTTTGTTTCATTGCATTATGTGTCAATGTGATTTTTATTACATCGATGTAATTGTCTGTTTCATTACAAGATTTCTTCCAAGCTTCTCCATTACATTTCATGCATTTGTTTCTTTTTCCACAAAGCAACTCTTTTGCTGCTGAGGTTTATGAGGTAGTTAAATAGGATTATTCCTGTTTTAAAAGAGTAAAATTGAAGCATAAAAATTTATTTGCCTATGATCTTATGAGAAGTCTGAGCTCCAGGAGAAGGACCGAGTTTGTCCCAGTTATTTTCAAGCCAATCTTCTACCTGTAGGCCACTTCTGCCTCTTCCCTGGTATTTTCCATGAGCTTTAGGAAACATTTTTGAGCATGCTTTTTGGCGGCCAATGTACGTTTGCAATGTGAGAAGCAATAATTTTCTAAAAGGGACCATTGGGTAATATTGTAATAGGAAAAAGGCAGTAGGGTGGATGCACACAATTTGTTTAGGATATTTAGATTTCATGTCTCCTAACAGGTCAGGTTGTGCCCACTGGGTATTTTAAGTCACAGTCTTTTATCCTAAGAGAAATATGTGCTTTTGTGGAAACTGAAATTCATTTCACCTTCATTTTAGTAGAAGGTGGAGGGGCAGCAAGTAAAACGAAAGAACCAGAAGAAAGAAAAACAAATTTGAAGCATTTATTTTGGAGAATTTTCACACAGCTTCCTTTTAATCCCTGATTAACAGATGAAAGAAGATACACCGAGACACAGCTCTAGCACTAAACCCTTTGATAAGAGAATTACATTGTCTTTATTGTACAGGCTTAGTTGATTTGTCTGCATCATCTTCTGCAGCAGTGATTGCCAGGCAGCCAAAGGAGAGTGCAGAGGAGAAGCTGTTTGCTGTGTGGTGTTCAGGACAGTTGCATTTATCCCAGGAGTCATTACTGTCCATAATGCCTACTGCTGATTATCAAGGCTGGAGTTCCAGTGCAAATAAAAATTGTCCTTGGATGGTCCAAAGCAATGATAAATGTCCTTGGTTCACTATTGAACTTAAAAGGCAAGCAGTGAAAAAATCATTGTCGTGTTTATCAGAAGGAAGATGACTGTATCTAACATATGTACAGAGTCCCCTTTCAGCCAGGTCTGAGGGTGGAGCAGCAGCTTTGCTTTCTCCTAGATGAGCCTTTCCATGGGCGGTGGCTGCAGCATGTCCCACATCTCCAGGCGGGAGCCGTCCTTCTCCTGGCGGCTGGGGCTGTAGGTGCCCTGCGTGGCGCGCTTGGTGGCGGTGGCAGCGGACACCGCCATGGCCAGGGACAGCAGCACCAGCAGCGCCAGCGTCACCGAGCCCACGGCCGCAAACACGCTCGAGAGCACGTCCCCTGCCAGCTGCAAGGATGGAAACCACTGCCAGGTCACTGCCACCAAGGAACACGGAGACACACCCGGGCCGCCCCAGAGGAGAACAGAAACCACTCTATGGACAGGCTTCACGTGGGTGATCACTGCTGGAGCACCATTTACTGCAGGGAATTAACACATTAACTTCACTAACCCCTCCACTTCATCCTTTGGTGTGACTGCATCCTCCTAGTGTGACTGCATGCTTAGTGTTCCAGGCAGATGAATTTCCTGTAAGGACCCACTTCTTTTGACAGCTTCCTTACCTTGAAAATAACCTGCAAGTTAATATGTCTGTGGGCTGCACTAGTAATTCGGCAATTATTAACCACTTCAGTAAAAATTCATTATTCCTAGAAATTTCCTATATTATTATATTTCCTATATTCCAATATTTCCTTCATATTTCCTAAAAATTCACTATTTCTATTATTCCTATGAGCTAATTTGAACATATATTGAGTTACATTTCTTGCTGGAGGAGTAAAATTTATATGAATATTTTTACATATATATATATATAAAAATATATAAATATATATATACACTTACTTATATAGAAATTTCACTTTAAATATTGTGAAATGTAGTATTTCTACAGACACTCCTACCAGTAAACTTTTCTACCAGCATTTTTGCATGAAATAAGCATTTAGAGGCTGCACAATAGTGCATAATCAGTATATTTTCACAAGTAAGTTTTAAAATATTCAAGCAGCTCTTCCACATACAGACTTCATAGGTTCATGTACAGGAACATGAGCAGTACAGTACAGGATGAATGTAAGGATGCTCTGATTTTTTGGGTTTTTTTCAGTTTTCATGTGGCAGTGGGAAATGTAATAATGTCAGAAGGCAGAGTGCACATAAACCAATCTGTCAGCTGGAAAGCTTCAGACCAGAGAAATTTTATAGTTGGTAGATGAGCATTTTGTACACATCTATGTATGCACTTTCATGTGTAAAAAATGCTTATGGTGAGGAGAGCAATGAAGTGGTTAGTGTGGAAAAGTGGTCACTATGGACAGAATGACCCTAGCAGGAATTGAACTTCTGGGCAGATTGTGCCATCCATCATCTTCTGATTTGTATTACAAGTGACAGCTGAACTGCCCGAGATGGATGCGTGCTTGAGGCTGAACTTTCAAATCTCCAAATATTCAGAAACAGAAAACAGCAGGTCAGAGCCTGTTTCCCAGTTAGCTGCTCCATGTTCAGGATGTTTTAGTGACCTGCTTACTCGTCATTTCTAAGGAAGGGCAGTCCCAGTGCAGAGCATGGGGATGATTTTGCACTCAGGATGGATGTGCTGGAAATGGATGCTCTGTGTGTGCATCCCTGACTCGTGCCTTTGCCAGAGAGCAGCAATGCCAGAGGGACAACAATAAACCAATCCTGCCTCTTTCTTCCTCTCTCCAATTCCACACTGATGGAAAAGGTCCTGCTATAATAGTAAAAGCAAGTTTGGCTCAGGGGTTCTCTCCAGGGGATAAATGATCGACTAGGATATTTTCCTCTGTCCTTGATGGCTAAATATATGGTCCCTGGGATTTTAAATACATTTTTCCCAATAGGACTAATATAATGCAGGTGTCAGACCAAATGACTACTGCTCTAAAACAAGGTGGCATGAAGCATGTTGGTCTATTAAATTGTATTGAATTGGGAAGGTTATTTCATCTTTGGATGGTGTTACAGACATATTTGAGATCCTAGTTTTGCTCTGTACTCTGTTGGACTATATGACCCTTGTTCCTCTTGTCTCAGAGAGGCAGCAAATTTTTAATGGAATTTTTGTTCTCAGAAGCTCTCTTTTATTTTCATTGCCTGCTCTGGAAAAATAAGGACTAAGATAGTCCAGGTTAACTCTGATTCTGGGGTTGAACAGGTCATTTTCAAGAGAAATTCACTACCACAGGCAAATGGATGGTATGGCCTCGCCTCTGATATGTGAAATTTCTGAATTCAGTCTCCACTCTTCCAGTCCATACTCTTTCCATTCCTGTTGCAAGCATGTCTCTCTGTATCATTTCATTTATGATAACCTTCAAATTAATTTGATTTCTTAAAGAAGAACTTTTTGCAAAGAATTGGGGTGAAGAAAAAGCTTATGACTTGCTACAATGGAGTCACACATCTAAATGTCATTCTCAAATTAAAATCATCATAACAGGCATTTTTAAAATTTTGCAATAGTTACTTTTTAGAGAAACCTTACCCATCCTGAGCCAATATGTAAAAGAAGTTACCCCACTGATCAGTGTCTGGAGAGCTGGGGGTTTACCATGGTAAGATACATAAACTAACTTTATTTCTATGTCTATATTGCTTCTTATTTCTAAATGTGAAAAAAAAAAGGCCTTCATCTTTTAAGGTGGATTCTATTGATCAAACGCCCCTGATGTTCCAGTGCTATCCCCTGGTTTATCACCCCACAGCTCCCTGCTGAAGTTTCCAATACGAGGTACCCCCTTAGCAGTTGCACTGAACTGGTAACAAGAGTTGCCAGAAGGCTCTGCAGTCTGGTCCCATCAAAATCAACTGCTTCTTTAGTAATTAATGGCTGAATTGTTAAATTAATTTGGAAAATCAGCTGGCTGATCTGGAAAAAAATATCTGAAAAGCTCTGTCCCCTGTCATCTCAGAGTCTGTTCACTGCATGTTCGGTGATGATGATAGACTGAAATAATTGTAACTGGTGATTCCAAAAATAAAAGGGTTGAGCAGCATTTTTAGTAACATTAGTGCTGCTGAAAGAGTGGGAAAGAGGTTTTCTGACACTGACCCTACTTGTACTTTGCATGATAGAAGGGAGTGGTCACTAAAAATGCAGTTTGAAAGGAAAGGTCCCATATCAGTGCTTCAGGCATTTCTGGCCAGTCCTTGCTGGTGCTTCCACCATGGATGGGTCTGAGCTGTGAACCTCTGGGATGTCTCACAGTGCCCTGGGGCTGCTCTCGTGTGTGTCTGCTCATCTCAGTGCTCCACCCATGTCCCAGATCCCTGGCTGATGGCCTGGGGCATCCTAAGGGGCTAGGACTCATTCTAATATGAATTTTCAGCTTCATACCACATTCCCCACATTAACTGGTGAAGCCCTGGCTGCTGAGCTGAGTGCTGAGGTGACAATAGACAGATTTTTGGTGTGTTTGTCACAAGGCTGTTACAGAGTACCCAGCAAGAGGTGCTCTTTGGCCCAGAGCTTCAAGAGCAGAAAAAGAAAGCTCTAGAAAGGAATGGACAGAGCAAGAAAAACTTAATTTTCTCTTGGCACAAAAAAAAAAAAACCACCACAGGACACCTGGGAGCTTGTGAAGAGAAACAAGTTCCCGAATTTTTTTGCTGAAAACCTTTGTTATTAGGGAAGCCTATGCAACACCCCTACCCCCATACTTTGTGATTGTCTGTCAGAAAGAATCCTTGCTAATAAATAACACATTTTTTGTGATCACAGCTATTACTGAATGTAACTTCAGCACTGCTTATGAATAACGAAATATATGCAAGGTAAATGAAGGAGGGTTAATTAACTGGCTGGGCAGTACCTTAGAGATTCTCATTACAGTTTGAGGCTGGACTGAAAGACCTCCTGAGGGCTCTTCCAACCTGAATTATCTTATGAGCCTGTTCAGAAGGTATTTGGTGACAGAACAGTTTTAAGAGCCCCTAATATAGAGGAGGTGCCAGTAAAAGCTGCATCCTTGGTGGAAATGGATGTTGATGGCAAGATGAAACCAACAAAATGGGGTTTGCTACCATTGGAAAGCCTGTCTGCTTCTCATGAAATTGTTTTTGTTTTTTTTAGGATGTTCTATTTATATACCTTTAGACGTCAGCTGACAAGTTTATTTTGGCAAATTTTTTTAAAAAGGAAAGAAAAAAAAATGGTGGAATTTAGTTTTCATGTAGTGGATGGCTTCATTTGCAAAGCCAGGAGAAAATGCAGGTAAAAAAATCTTTATCTTTTTCTAAAATCAAGTCTTTTGGATTTTGACTAGTAGTTTCACATCAAAATGGATTATTTTTTCCTACGATTTAATTATTAAATTTAAATTCTTTTTTTAGTATTTATATTGCATAAATAAATAATTGAATAGAGTGACATTTCATTATAGCTCTGGGTTTTGCTTTTCATTTGGTTATGGAAATAGATTTATTGTTCTGCTCTGGTTCCTTGATGCACTTTTTGAATAAGAAGGGCCCAGTTCAGAAGTCAGAATTAGAGGCATTTATCAACCCAGTGTATGTTTGGGGTGCTGCTGCATGGGGAGGCACTCCCTGGAGGTGTCTGTGGGGTGTGTGATGTGCTCTGGAGGCAGGAGCTGCCTGCCTGCCTCTGTGCCTGGGCAGGAGGGATTAACCCACCTTCATTTTAGCATTGCTCAGAATGTGCCTGGTTCTGGATGCATCTCCAGACAGAGACATCAAGGCAGGCTTTAAAACACAGGGACTGACACACCCCAGAGACTTCCCTTCCCTGCCACGGGTGGGGCTTTTTGGGATTTCTGCAGCTGCTCATGTGCACTGGAGCTTTTGCTGGGCAAGTCTCAGATCCCGAGTCCTGACACCACTCACAAGGTTATCAGCTCATTCCTGGTAAGAACATCTGATCCCTGCTGCCCAGATTTACTGCTTCCAAATCACAGCCATTTGCTGTGGTAACAACTGCCTTGAGTAGTCCTAATCCATGGCAGAGTTACTTTGAAAGGGTTGGGGGCATATAGGGATAATAGTGAGCAGCCAGAGAAAAGCCATTACTTGATTAAAAGGCCCATAGATATTCTGAGCTCATTTCACAGAGGATTTACAGCCATCTTATTGGAACTTCTTTCTCTTACAGGCTGAATTCAAATAAGAATTTGTGTAGTTCAAGGAGAAATCCAGTCAGGCACACACAGATCTGTTATCATGAGGTGCATTGATAACCCCAGCCTGTGAGGCTACAGTTTATTTTCAACAGCAATGAAGTGGCCATAAATCTATAGATT